GCCACAGCCACAGCAGCAGCAGCACAGCAGCCGCCGCAGCTGCCGGAGCAGCCTCCGGCCCCTGTTTCTGGCCTTCGGGCCCTTGGTCTCCCCTCCTCTCCTCCTGTGTTCGGTCCCACGTTTCCTCCTCCAGACTCCACTCCGGCTGTCTTCCCTCGTTCTCAGTCTCCTCCGTCCCCCCCTCCTCTCGCCCACACTTGGGCCTCTGGCCCTCCTCGTGCTCGTCCCTCGTCCCCTGTCACTGACCTCCGTACCGTGTTGTTTCGTCCTCGTCCTCCTCGTTCTCCTCTCGTCTGTCCTTCCTCGTCCTCCTGAGTCTTCCCTCACTGCCTCCCTATCCACTCCGGTCACTGACTACTACCGCACGTACCGCCCCACTCTCTCTCGTGTTCTCGCCTCTCTTGTTACAGACCCTCGTGCCTCTCCTTCCTCCGTCGCGGTCCTCACTGCCGCTGTCACTGACTTTACTGCTACGCGTCGCCTTGACTACGCCACTCGAGTTGTGGCAGCTCCTCCTGTCCGTCCTCTGTCCGCCGGGGTGTGTGTGCCCTTGGCTGTGACGTCCTAGAGGACAGACAGTTTGAGCTAGAGTTCCTGGCAGCTGCTTCGCCTCATCTCTGTGCCATGCTGCTCACTCCTGAGGGAGACCCCGACGCTCCTGACATACCTACTCCTCGCACTTACGCTGAGGCAGTGTCAGGGCCTTGGGCCTCTCAGTGGAGAGCTGCCATGGACGCAGAGATGGCCTCCTACAGGTCCACAGGCACTTACGTTGACGAGGTTCCCCCCCCAGGGGCGAACATTGTTGACGGCATGGATGTGATCTTCAAGGTGAAGCGGCCGCCGGGATCTCCCCCAGTCTTCAAGGCACGCTACGTGGCTAGAGGGTTCAGTCAGCGCGAGGGGTTGACTTCTTTCAGACCTTCGCGCCCACCCCGAAGATGACCACTCTTCGGGTGTTACTGCACGTAGCAGCGCAGAGAGACTACGAGCTACACTCTCTTGACTTCTCCACTGCCTTCCTCCAGGGCTGCTTACACGAGGAGATCTGGCTGCGTCGTCTTCCGGGCTTCACTGGCACTTTCCCGCCTGGGACCTAGTGGAGCCTCAGACGACCGGTCTACGGTCTCCGCCAGGCACCCCGTGAGTGGCACGACACTCTCCGCTCCACTCTCTCCGACCTCGGGTTTGAGCCGTCTTCCGCCGACCCGTCGCTGTTTGTTCGTCGTGGCCGTACACCTTTCTTCGTCCTAGTCTACGTTGACGACTTGGTTTTTGCCACGGCCGACACAGCTGCACTGGCGGAGGTGAAGTCCGAACTGCAGAAGAGACACACCTGCACTGACCTTGGGGAACTGCGCCGCTACCTTGGCCTGCAGATCTCCAGGGACAGAGCCGCTCGCACCATCACTCTCACTCAGTCACACATGGTGCAGCAGGTTCTTCAGCGGTTCGGGCTTCAGGACTCTTCTCCTGCCCCCACTCCTCCTGCTGTAGACCACAGATTCACTGGGCCTTTTCCTGACGAGCCGTTCGAGCCCAGTGGTCCCTACGCAGAGCTAGTGGGCTGCCTCATGTACCTAATGACGTGCACTGCACTCGCCCGGACCTCGCCTTCCCCCTTAGCATCCTGTCTCGCTTTGTTGCGACTGGGAGACACCGTCCTGTTCACTGGGCGGCGGCTAAGAGGGTGGCGAAGTACCTTGGCGCGACATCAGGCATGGGGCTTGTACTTGGAGGGACACAGCCAGTTGTACTCACCGGTCACTATGACTCTTCCTACGCTGACGACGTTGAGACTCAGAGGTCTACGCAGGGTTACTGTTTCAGCCTGGGTTCTGGAGCTGTTTCGTGGAGGTCTACTCGGTCCTCCTCTGTTGCGACTTCTACCGCAGAGGCCGAGATCTACGCTGGGGCCCTTGCTGCTGCTCAGTAGCTACGCTGGTTGACCTTTTTGCTCACTGACCTTGGTGAGCGGCCGAGCTCTGCACCGACCCTGTTTGCTGACAACAGGGCGATGATTCTCCTGTGTCGTGAGCCTCGACTGGAGAGCCGAGTGAAGCACATCGACGTCAGGTACTTCCTCCTTCGAGAGTTGCAGAGACGCGGACAGGCTCGTCTGGACTTTGTGGCCTCCGAGGCCAACACTGCAGACATCTTCACCAAGGCCCTCCAGCCTTGTGACCACCGTCGGTTTTGTCTGCAGTTAGGCCTCGTTGAGACTGGGTCTAGTTGACTGCTGTAGGGTGCTCTTTGTCTGTTGCTTGCTTGTACCTTATATATATATATTTGTTTGCACACTTTTGGACTGGCCTTGTGGCCCTTTGCTTGTGCTCAGATTAGGTGGTGACGTTGTGATCCACCCTGAGCTTTGTTTTCTTTCTCTTGTTTTTGACTGGTCTTGTGACCGTAGGTTGCTTGTTGTTGATTGGCCTTCCCCACTTAGGCTATGGGGGTGTGTCAAATATTATAGCCTGTAGTGGGTTGGGCTATATGGGGTACAACTAGTTAGGGTTAGGTGATGTACCCCAATCCTGTCAACACAACGCATTCCGCTGTAGTTCTCATTCTGACACAATCTTCTACGACGAGAGCTCATCTTGACAACTGGGCAACTAGTCCTTCTCGACACGAAGAACCTGAACCTGCCCGGCCATGCGAAACTTCGGCCACGATTTTGCGGACCGTTTAAAATTCTCAAGATGGTGACACCTGTCACCGCGAAGCTGTTGCTACCCGACGACTGACTGGCATATCCATGACGCGTTCCACGTCAGCCTTCTTCGGAAGTACGTGCCTACCACGACCGACATTGCACGTCAGCAAGCGGCCCCGACAGCTCGCCCAGTCCCGGAGCCAACCCTTGCCCCTTCCAAGATCCTCGCTCATCGGGTCCGCCTTGATGCCGCTGGTCGCCACGTGGATTTCTTGATTCGCTGGACTGACCGCACCAGAAGGAGGACGACACGTAGGTGCCATCCGCTTCACTGGACGCCTCGACGCTTGTTGGTGATTATTTGGCGCGACGTCGTGTCTCGGCTATTGACTACCTTTCTTAGGGGGGGGGGGGGGGGTGGTGTAAGGAATTTTCCCGAATTCCTTATCGGGGTTGACTGCTTCGCGTACAACCCGATTTTCGGAGTTCGCACGTTCGGCCGATTTCAACGCTGCCGAGGCTCCTCACGTCGCCTTCGGCTTTCTCATCGCCAAACCTGCACCCAACCTCGCTCGTCCGAGGTTCTCTCCTAGCTAGAGTAGTTCTATATTAGTCTGGGCATTCATTGTATTCGCAGTTGATTCAGTCACAGCTTCGTTATTCGTTTACCTGCGCACTCTCTTTTACAACTCATAACAAGGCAGATAAACAGTGCTGTACGCACTTTGCAGGGCAATGCAATGCAACACAGGCGCAACAATCGATATTAACTTTCCATGATAGGAACTACCGGTGCCAACACAAGCTCAACTGCGGTAGCTCATTCGTCACATGGTTGATTGTTATACAGTCTGACAAACAATCATTTTCTTTGGGGAGGTTTGCGACACGTTGCCGGGTTCGACGGACGGGCAGGCTAAAACTGCGACCTGGAGTTTGCTTGACGGTATGGCTGGCGATGACTGCGGATTTGCCGTCGATGGGTCTGGTTCGGGCGGATTGCATCCATCTAGTCCGTGACCGTTGCTGCGAAATGTTTATTCGTGTCAGTCAGCGGTTCGATTCGCATTGCGTCAGTGGTACCCGACGCGGATGACGCGAGGCGGCGCGTCAAAATCATCGGCTGGTGGGCAGGTGCCGTTGAGCCTCAGCCAGCACCAGCCGCTTTGTGTGGTGGTTTCATTCACGAGGAACATTTTGACATGTTCCATTCCATGCCGAACCGTCCCAACCAGTATGTGCGAGGTTTGGCTGGCTGCGCTGCGCAACATCCGGGCACGGCGGAGGTCTGCGGCTTGGTTCGGCTCGGGTGGTTCGGAATGGGGCACATGGCATGGCGTGCGTTGACTCTCCCGCCATCCTTGGCATTCCGCCAGGCCCACACCCAAACACAGAATGGTTGCTCTCATAGGCAGAGCTCAGCTGAAGTGAAGCAGAGCTGAGGGAACGAGTATCCATGGTCTTCCACACCAAGTTTCACATGCAAGTGCTGGAAGTAAGCTTTCATGGAGGCCTAGGAAGTTAGAGCTTTATTACAGTATTCAAGTTGTGGGGCGCGTTAGTCGTCTACCTGGAAACAGTGATAAGTAGCCGAAATTGGTCCGAGAGAACTCCTTCTATGCTAGCTCGGTTTTCAATATTGACAGCAAAAGTCGTGGTTGTAGGACCATTTGTCAAGCGCGTGAGCAGTTGATTTGCATCGCCAAATTCAAGGTAAGAATATCTGGAGGGGCAAGCAGGACCAGAGAACGTGAGGGCCAGAAATGTGAACGGATCGATAACAGGAAGTACACGGCAATAGGCAGGCGCGAACTTACTAGTGGTGATCGCGGCTCGAATGTCAGGCATGGAAGATTTGCAGCTTGGGTAGAGGCCAAGCCGTCGCGGCAGGTTCAGCGCAATACTAGGTCTCTGCTTTCGCTCCGCTACGTCTCTACATCTCCGTCCAGCCTCACTTTCCTTTTCACCTCTGAAACCACTACCGTTCTGCTTACTCCTTTTCGCTTCGAAGAACGAGCACGAGTGCAGTCGTGAAGTATGCTATTCCCCTGTTCATGATCCTCTGAAGCTTAGCCTCCTCGCCTGGCCGCCTTGTTGCCTTCTCCTAGTGAGCCATCATCAGGTCGCTCCAATGGGTGTTTCTCCCTCTCATCCTCTCCTTCGCCGTCCATGTGTTCCCCCGCGTCGCCCTCGTTTTGTCCGTTCACTAACACTTCAACGTCCTGTCCTTTTTCTCCCTTGCCAGTGAAACATTCGTCCACCTCACCACTGCGACTGACTCTGCTTGCATGGCATGGCGTTTCGCGCTTCCACTCTCGCCGTGCCACTGACCCTGGCTTCAGACATGGAAGCAGCACCTGGTTCTTCCGCCGCTCTTCGCGGCCAGCTAGCAGACATGGGATTTAGGGAAGCGGAAAGCATAGTGGGAAGTAGGTCGGGCACGGGGGGCGAAGGGCGGGATCAGCAGTCAGCGATGGTACTGGCGGCGGTGGCGGAGTCGATAGAGATGCTGCGCACGGCGGGCAGCGATGCGGACGAGAAGGAGCGCGTCGCTATGCAGCTCAGCCAGCTGGCGGAGACCAGCGTGGATGCGCGCGCGGCCATCGGCTACCACGCGCAGGCCATTCCGCTGCTCGTGGGACTCGTGCGCTCGGGTACGTTGCCTGCGCGCACGCATGCGGCGGCAACTTTGGGGGCGATCTGCGACGAGCAGGAGCTGCGCGTGAAGGTGCTGCTGGGGGGTTGCATTCCGCCCATGCTGGCGCTGCTGCGCAACGGCCCCAAGGACTCGCAGATGGTGGCGGCGGAGGCGCTCTTCGCCATGTCCAAGGCGGGCTCCGGGCGCGATGCCGTGGGGTCGCGCATCTTCGCGTCGGAGGGCGTGGTGCCGGCGCTGCTGCAGCAGCTGCAGAAGCACGCGGGCATCCACCCGGACGTGCTGGGGCTCGTCACGGGCGCCATGCGCAACCTGTGCTACGCCGTGCCGGGATTCTGGCGCACGGTGGAGGCGGCGGGCGGCGTGGAGATCTTCACGAGCATGCTCTCCATGGGGCGCCCCGCCACGCAGGAGAACGCCGCCGCGCTGCTCACCAGCTTCCTCACCAGCCCCTACCTCGCGCACCCCAATGCGGCCGCCGCCGCCGCGCAGCAGCAAGCCAAGGGCAAGACTCCAGCGGCAACAGTGGCGGCAGCAGCGGCGGCAGCGGCGGCGGCAGCCATGGAGGGCGGAGAAGGGCTGGAGGAGGCGGCGAAGGCGGCGGCGAGAGTGGTGGAGGCTGGAGCCATTCCGCCGCTCCTCGCGCTGCTGCAGCCGGGTAGGGAAGTGGCGGTCAGGACAGAGGCGGCTGGGGCGCTGCGCGCAATCTCAGCAGTACATGTGGCGGCTCGGGAGAAGATTGCGGCGGCTGGGGGAGTGGGCATGCTGATCCGCGCGACGATGGCGCCGTCGGCGGAGATGATGCAGACGGGGTACGCGCAGGTGCTGCAGGAGAACGCCATGGGCGCGCTCGCCAACATCGCGGGGCGGCAAGGCGGAGGTCGTCGCGTCGCTGGCGGCGGCCGTGAGCAGCGCGCACTCGGATCGCGAGCTGGCGGACAACATCGGCGCGCTGGCGTACGCGCTGATGGTGTGCTGGAACGACGACGACGACGACGACGGCGCGGCGGACGACGGCGAGGGCGGGGATGGCGGGAGCGGAAGCAAGGTGGACGCGGAGGGCATCGAGCGCGCGCGCTGGGTGGAGAAGCTGAGCCCGCTGCGGCCGGCGTCGGCGCTGGTGCAGGAGCGGTCGATCGAGGCGCTGGCGAGTCTGTACGGCAACAGACTGTGTGGCGCGCGGGCTGAGCAACGCGGAGGGCAAGCGCATGCTGGTGGGGCTCGTGACGCTGTCGCCCACCGACGCGCAGGCGGAGCTGGTGGAGGCGCTGTTCAACGTGTGCGTGCAGGGCGCCCGCTGTGGAGCGCGCTGCACGGGCGCGAGGGCGTGCTGCAGCTGGATGGGGGCTGCTGGGGCTGTCGACGGAGGACCAGCAGGAGTGCGCGTGCGCGCTGCTCGCCATCCTCTCGCACGAGGAGGACGAGAGCAAGTGGGCCATCACACCGCCGCGGGGGGCATTCCCCCGCTCGTCTCGCTGCTGGTGACAGGCACCGCCAAGGCCAAGGAGGACGCTGCGGAGTTGCTGGGTAACCTGTGTTCCTACAACGAGGATATTCGCGCGTGCGTGGAGACGGCGGACGCGGCCCCCGCGCTGCTGGCAATCTGCTGGGCAGCGGGTCGGAGAGGGGTCAGGCGGCGGCAGCGCGCGCTCGATCATGCGCCTGGTATCGGGGCGGCAGCAGCGGCGCGAGCAGCGCGATCGGCAGCTGACGGGGCATTCATGGTGGCGGAGGTGCCGGAGTCCAAGGGTTGCACGTGCTGCGCGTGCTGGGCCAGCTGCTCGCCGACTCGCCCGACGGCCGCCCACGACGGCACCGCGGCAAACGAGGCGCTTCAGACGCTCGTCGCGCTCGTCGAGTCGGAGCGCGAGGAGACGCAGGAGAGCGCGGCGGCGGTTCTGGCGAATCTGTTTGCGGGCGCGGGAGGATTTGCGCGAGGGGCCGGTGGCGGCGGAGGCGATTCCCCCCCTGGTGCGGCTGGTGGAGCGACGGCGGCGAGCCCGTGGCCAGAGCAGCAGCGCGCAGCCGTTGGCGGCGCTGTTCTGCTCCATCGACAGCAACGAGGAGGCGGCGCACGCGGCGAGGGCGAGCATCTTCCCGCTGGTGAAGCTGGCGCGCGCGCGCGAGGATGGCGGTGGCGGAGGTGGCGACGACGGCGCTGGCGAACCTGCTGGCGAACCCCGAGCTGGCGCTCATATGCGCCCGCGGACGAGGTCGTGCTGCCGCTCATCGCGCCTTGCTGGCGCGAGGGCACGCCGCACGGCAAGGAGCACGCGGCGGGCGCGCTGGCGCACACTGCTGCACTCGCGCGCGCTGGACGAGGAGCTGGCGGAGAGCATCCGCCAGTGCAGCAACCGTGCTCGCGCTCGTCGCGCTGCTCGCCGTCGGCGCCAGCGAAGGACGCGTCCCATGGCGGCGCTCGAGGCGCTGGCGGCGCTGGCGCGCGCCAAGGCGCACAACTAGGGGCGGGGCAGGCGCCGCTGGCGGGTGCTGTCGGAGGTGCCGTACTCGATGGGTCCGCTGGTGGCGGTGCTGGCGGGGGGCACGGCGGGCATGCAGGAGAAGGCGGTGGAGGTGCTGTCGCGGCTGTGCAAGGACCAGCCCGTCACGCTGGGCGACATGATCGCCGGCACCGAACAACTGCGTCGCCGCGCTCACCGCGCGCATCACAGAGGCGGAGAGCCTGGAGGTGGAAGGGTGGGCGGCACGGCGCTGCTGATCTGCGCGGCGAAGGAGCACCGCGCGGCGACGATGGCGGCGATGGAGGCGGCGGGAAACGCTGCAGGCGGTGGTGCGGTGCCTCGTTGACATGCTTGCAGCGCAGCAGCAGTCGCGCGAGCAGCAGCAGGCGGAGGAGGGCGACGGGGAGGCATCGGCGGAGGCGCTGGTGAGCAGCGTGGCGTTGTGGCTGCTCGCCGTCATGGCGTCGCACGACCACCCCACGCGCGCGCGCTCGTCGCCGCCGCGGGCGCCGTCGACGTGCTGGTGGACCGCCTCTCCGCGCTGTCGGCGGACGGGGAGGAGGCGGACGACCTGGGGATGGATGGGGACGGGCGCGGAAGGGGGAGACAGCGGGGGGGCGTGGGTGTGCGCGTTGCTGCTGGCGGTGCTGTTCTGCAATCGCGACGTCGTGCGCTCGCCCGTCGCGCTCGAGGGCCATTCCGCCGCTCGCTTCGCTGCTCACCTCGCCCGACCCCGTCGCAGCGCTACTTTGCATCGCAGGGCCGTCGCGTCGCTCGTGGCGAGCGGCAGTCGCGGCACGCTGCTCGCCATCGCCAACAGCGGCGCCATCCCGCTGCTGCTCGCGCTGCTGGGCCGCGCAGAGGCGGACGTGGCGCACCTGCGCGCGCTGGCGGACGACTTCGAGCTGGCGGGCAGCCCGGAGCAGGTGGCGCTGGAGAAGCTCTTCCGCTGCGACGACATCCGCGCGGGCCGCCACGGCAGCGTGGTGGTGCCGCAGCTGATCGCGCTGCTCACGCCCAAACGCCGACCAGCCCAGCGCGCCCGCCGTCGCCATCGGCCTGCTCACGCAGCTCGCGGCCGGCAGCAGCGCGAACCGCGTCGCCATGGCGGACTAACCGCATCCTCGAGGCGCTCACCACGTACCTCACGCTCGCCCGCAGGTGCGCCGCGCGCTTCCCCCCTTGCGTTGCCTCCCCCTGTTGCTTGATATCCTCGAGCTTCGCACATTCCACCCACCTGTGCTGCTGCCTCCTCACCCCCTCATCACTCATTCCCCAATGCCCATCCAACCCCACGCGCCCTTACTTCCCTCTCCCCCGTGCAGGAGGCGATGGAGGCGGCGGCGGTGGAGCTGCTGCGGGTGCTCTTCCAGGCGGACGACCTGCGCGTGCACGCCGCCGCGCCCGCCGCCATGGACCAGCTCGTCGCCGTGCTCCGCGTGGGCTCCCGCGCCGCGCGCCTGCCGGCAGCATCGGCGCTGGAGGGCGCTGTTCGCCGTCGACGCGCACCGCGCCAGCGACGCGGCGCTGCACGCGCTGCACCCGCTCGTCGACATGCTGGGACAGCGGGGCGGGCGCGGAGGCTGCTGGCGGGGCTGCTGGAGGCGGCACTGTGGAGGCGGAGCAGCGGGCGGCAGCGGCGGCGCTGTGCCAGCTGGCGCAGGGCAACGTGGGGCGCGTGCTGCAGGCGTGCGAGGAGGGCGGCATCCCCCTCATGGCAACCATCCAGCGCCTGCTTGAGGCGCCCGACAATCAGCCAGCTGGCGGAAGCGGCGGGTACGACAAGGCGGCGGCGGAGGTGAAGGCGACGGCGGTGGAGCTGCTGCAGACGCTCTTCTCCTTCCCTCGCGCTCGCTCGGGCCCCGTGGCCGCCGCGCTGATCCCGCCGCTGGTGGTGCTGCTGCTGCAACCCGTCGCCGTCGCTGCAGTACAGTGCGGCGGGCGCCGTGGACGCGGTGATGGACGACGAGCAGCAGGCCAACGTGGTGGCCTCATGCAGCGCCGTGGCGCCGCTCGTGAGCCTGCTGGAGGGCGAGCGGCACGGGCTGCACGCGGCGGCCAGTAGTGGCGCTGTTCAAGCTGGCCAAGGACCGGCGGCAGTGCAAGCTGGACATGGCGGCGGCGGGCGTCATCGAGCGCATCATTGCCATCTTCCCTCCGCGCCGCTCGCCCTCTGCTCGCTGCTTGGCGGAGCTGCTGCGCGTGCTCACCAACAACTCCAACCATCGCCAAGGGCGCCGCCGCTGCGCGCCTCGTGGGGCCCGTGTTCGCCATGCTGCGCCACGCGGAGCTGTCCCCTGCGGCGCAGGACAAGTGCGCTGCAGGCGCTGGTGAACGTGCTGGAGAAGCCCGGCCGCCTGGAGGCGCTCGACCTGCCGCCCAGCGACGCCATGGAGCCGCTCGTGCCGCTGCTGTCTCGGGCCGTCGCTGGTGGTGGCGCAGCTGGCGGCGGGGCTGCTGGCGCACGTGCTCACGCTGGAGGCCTTCCACAGTGACGGCATCACCGCCGCCGCCGCGGCCCCGCTGGTGAGGCTGCTGGGCAGCGAGCTGGGAGTCGCTGCGCACCGAGGCCCTCAAGGGCGCTCGAACTCGTGTCCGCCTGCTGGCCGGGCGCCATCGTGGAGGCGGGCGGCATCGACGAGCTATCTCGCCTGGTGGCGACGGCGCCGCACCCGATGTGGCAGATGGCGGGCGACGGTGCTGGCGAACGTGCTGCGCGCGCATGACAAGTGCGCGGTGCAGGTGCCCGTGCCCGTGCTCGTGCGCCTGCTCATGGCCAACACCGAGCCCGTGCAGGTCGTCGCGCTCATCCGCGCTGCTGGCGCTGGAGCGCGAGGACCCGGCGCGGGGGGACGAGATGGCGCGCATGGGCGTGGTGGGACGCGCTGCTGGAGCTGCTGCGCTGCCACCAGGGTGGAGGAGGCGGCGGCGCGCCTGCTGGAGGCCATCTTCAACAACGCGCGCGTGAGGGACTCGCAGACGGCGCTGCGCTCCATCGCACCGCTGGCGTCGTACCTGCTGGACCCCAACTCCGCCGACCCCAACGCCAAGCTGCTTGGCGGCGCTGGCGCTGGGCGACCTCTTCCAGGAGACGAGCGTGGCGCTCAAGACGGTGGACCTCACGGGCGCGTGCCGCGCACTCGTGGCGCTCATGGCGGAGCGCGCGAGTGAGGACCTGGTGATGGTGGCGCTGTGCGGGCTGCAGAACCTGGTGGCATCGTCGCGCGCCAACAAGCGCGCCGTGGCGGACTGCGGGCGGGTTCAGCGTGCTGGTGGAGCTGCTGACAGGCGGGTCGGGCGGAGGTGACGTCGCAGGCCGCCAACCTGGTGCGGGCTGATGCTGAACAACCACACGGTGCAGGAGTACGCGACGCCGGAGCTGGTGTCGTCCATGACAGGGCGTGATCGAGCGTGAGCTGTGAAGACGGCGAGTGTGAACGAGGAGGTGCTGCAGGCCATCGAGGGGCTGCTCGCCACCTTCTCACCGCCTGCGCTTCAGCGAGTGCGCCACGGCCGCCATCCCCGTGCTGGTGGGCGCCATGAAGGTGGGCAGCGAGGTGGCGCAGGAGACGGCACTGAAACGTGCTGTGGCTGCTGCGGCAGGGGTGGGCGCAGAGCAAGGAGATGGCGCGGCTGCAGTCCATCGCCATGGGCGACACCATCCCCGTGCTGCAGCTCATGCTGCGCTCCGGCCCCATCAACCTGTACTAGAAGGCGGAGACGCTGCTGTCCGGGCTGCCGGGCAGCCTGTCGGTGTGTGTGAAGCGCGGCTCCAACCTCAAGGCGTCCATGGGCGCCACCAACGCCTACTGCAAGCTCACGCTCGCCGACACCCCCGCCAAGGTCACCAAGGTCAGTCCACTCACTGCACACGGCGCGACGCCCAGGGGCAGCGGGCGGGGCACATGGGGTATGGGGATGCTGGTGATGGGGGTAGTTCTGGAGCAATTACAAAAGGAGCACTGTAATCAGCAATTGTCTCTGCTCTCACCGTAACCCTCTGAACGCTTGATCTGCCATCTTAGTTTGTTGGGCCGTGTTGTGTGTGGTGTGGGATGTGGTTGTGTGCTCCTCCATGGCATGGCAGGTGGTGAGCGGCACGTGTGACCCCGAGTGGAAGCAGACCTTCACATGGCCGCTGGACGCCCCTCCACGCGGGCAGAACCTCCACATCTCGTGCAAGAACAAGGGCACCATCGGCACCGGTGAGTTACCAACTGCTGCACGTCATGTGCCCCGGTATGGGCTGCTCCACGTGTGTTCCATTTCCAGCATGCTCCGTGTCTCATTCCCTTGACTTCTGTGCACTGTGGTGTGTTGGGCGTGCTGTGTGTGTGTGTGTGTGTGTGTGTGTGTGTGTAATGTGTGTGTGTGAGTGTGTGTGGTGTGCTGTGTGTGTGTGTGTGTGTGCTGTGTGTGTGTGTGGTGTGTGTGTGCTGTGTGTGTGTGTGTGTGCTGTGTGTGTGTGTGTGCTGTGTGTGTGCTGTGTGTGTGTGTGCTGTGTGTGTGTGTGCTGTGTGTGTGTGTGCTGTGTGTGTGTGTGCTGTGTGTGTGCTGTGTGTGTGTGTGTGCTGTGTGTGTGTGTGTGAGTGAGTGAGTGATGGCAGAGCTCACTGGGCAAGGCGACGATACAGATAGACCGGGTGGTGGCGCTGGGGATGGGTGTCCGGGACATACGTGCTGCAGCCAGAGGGCAACCGAGACGGCACGCAGCGCACCATCGATGTCGACTTCATCTGGTCCAACCGCTGATGCCCCTCACGCCCCTCCCTCCACCCACCCCACCGCTGATGCTGCTGCCACTTACCCACCCTGTATGGTGTCAGCATTGGCTTGACGTTGTGACACCCAGGGTGCCCGCCAATGCATCTTGTGGCACTTACAGTCCATCTTGTGTTGCCCCCCTTGCTCTCTGCCGCCGCTGCTCCCTCTCTGCCACCCCACCGCCTGCTTGCACGCCCCAACATACACACCAGCTGCTGCCACTCATTCACATGTCTATAAGGCGCTATACTGCCATGCAAATGCGTGCCAATTCTGCCGCTGCCACCATTGGTGCAACGGACCACCATCAACAGCCTGAGCCATGAATACTGGTCGTGCTGGGGCCGTGCTCAACACGCAGGCGCTCCAGCCCGCCGCACGGCTCATCAACACGGCAACCAAGCTTGTAGACAGTCTGCTGTAGCTACTGGGCTACCATTACGCAAATCTACTCGTGCAGCATGCGCATCCCCCCTGGTGCTGAGCAACAGCAGGACGACCAGCTTTTAGTCAGAACCCGTAGTTTAGAGAGACTACTCCCATTTTATGAAGCATGTGTGAGCTGCCTAATGGCAGGAGAACACAGCACACATTGCACACAGCTGCCTAAGGAATTCATGTGGTGCCTTGATAAAAGTTAGCCTTGTAAGTGTGCTTCTACACTACATTGCACTGCAGCTAGTGCGACTCAATCTAAGAACACTAAACATGCTACAAACTTGCAGATTTTGAACCTGACTAGAGGCATGCAGGCAGTGTGGGGGATGTAGTTGGCAGTTGTCAGGCGCCCATTGGTTGAACCATAAAGAGTAAAACCGTGACCTGCAGTGAGCATGGAGCGCCAAAAGCAGTCAGTATGAGAGGTGCAATGCAAGGATGAAGGCGCTGCTCTGAGGACAACGACGCCGAAACAAGAAATGGTTAGACTTAGCAATCGCCAACCATTTGAGTGTGCATGCATCAGCACGTGTGTGTGACACATGCTGCCAAGATCTGAGCGCACTGTGCAAAGCTGCAACAACCGACAGCCACCCCCCGTTCAGTGTAGAGAAAGGGAGAGGCTGACCTGCACGGTGGAGAAGGCGAGTAGAGGGGAGGCCACAGTGCCCCCAGCACGCGGCCGTCGGCGCCCACAGAGGGTGGCAGTGAGCCCTCCCATGCGGCTGGAGGCGTCGGTGGGGATCGTCCGGCAACGTATGAGCCCGACAGGCGGACACCATGTCCAGTGCTCCCTGCATGCATGCACGCACGCACGCACACACGCACACAGAGCCACACTCAACACCCTTTGCTTCCTGCCTCTCAACTTCCCTCTCCATCTCAACCACCAAACCCACACCACAAAAACGCTCCACCCCATGTCGTGTGCTGCTATGACCCACCCCATGTCGTGTGCTGCTATGAACCCACCCCATGTCGTGTGCTGCTATGACCCACCCCATGTCATGTGCTGCTATGACCCACCCCATGTCGTGTGCTGGCTATGACCCACTCCATGTCCTGTGCTGCTTGACCCACCCCATGTCCGTGTGCTGCTATGACCCACCCCATGTGGTGTGCTGCTATGACCCAGGCACCCATGTGGTGTGCTGCTATGACCACCCCATGTGGTGTGGCTGCTATGACCCACGCCCATGTCGGTGTGCTGCTATGACCCACCCCATGTCGTGTGCTGCTATGACCCACCCCATGTCGTGTGCTGCTATGACCCACCCCATGTCGTGTGCTGCTATGACCCACCCCATGTCGTGTGCTGCTATGACCCACCCCATGTCGTGTGCTGCTATGACCCACCCCATGTCGTGTGCTGCTATGACCCACCCCATGGTCGTGTGCTGCTATGACCCACCCATGCGTGCTTGCTATGACCCACCCCATGTCGTGTGCTGCTATGACCCACCCCATGTCGTGTGCTGCTATGACCCACCCATGTCGTGTGCTGCTATGACCCACCCCATGTCGTGTGCTGCTATGACCCACCCCATGTCGTGTGCTGCTATGACCCACCCCATGTCGTGTGCTGCTATGACCCACCCCATATCGTGTGCTGCTATGACCCACCGCAAGTGGTGTGGCAGGCAGGGCGGTGGCGGGGCCAGAGAGGGCGGGCGGGAGGACGGAGCCATTGGCGGAGAGCACACACACCGCCCTGCCCTCCTCGCGTGACAACTCGAATATCCGCGCTGCTACGTCCTGTGCCCCGCCCATGAGAGGGCACGCCCACGGGAGGACCCACCCACGGGAGGACCCACCCACGGGAGGACCCACCCAGGGGAGGACGAGTGATTGCGGCACGGTGGACACAGGCATGACAGGCGACTTCATCCACGCTTCTGTACGCCCCTCCCCTCCCACTCGCTTTCCACTGCGCTAGCCTCCTCCCTCCTCTCTACGATGCCATCTGCTGCTGCTCTGCTCTGCTCTGCTCTGCTCGTATAAATAGGGCCCCTGCCCTTCCCATTCCCGAGTAAACAACAGGTGAGCGAAAATGGAGAGGGCAATGACTAACAGAGAAAAAGAGGGCTCTAACCAGGCATTCTCAACAGCCACTTTTGGAAAAGTCCCACAGGCCTCGACCCCCACCCCTCTCATACCTCGCCACTTGGAACCAGGAGGACTCTCGGCTCCAGCGCTGCACACACGGCAAGGAGGAGGGAGCAGGGAACAGGGAGCGGGAGCAGGCAGGAAGCTGTCGCACTGGGGCGGGGAACAGCAGTCACAGCAAGGCAGCAGCCAAAGCAGAGAGGTTCGCGAGCAGCAGGGGCGAGCAAGCAGCAAGGCCGGAGGTGGGAGGGGCGCACGCAACAGCTGGGGGCGGCACGCGACTTCGCTCCGACCCGCCGTGCTGCCCAACGGCCGACCGGGGCTTCGTCGAGGCAGACTGGGGTCTTTAGGGCGGGCCGTCCCGGCTTTCGCTTTGGTGAAGCTGAGTCGTTAGGTGGGCCGCCCCGGCCGTCCCTTTGGCAGCGTCGGGTCTTTTGGCGGCCGTCCCGGGCCCCGCTTCGGCACGCTCGAGTCCTCCGCCACCCGCACCGCCGCGCACCTCCTGCACCCCCGAGTCCTTGCGCGGCCGTCCGCGCTTGCGCTTTGGAAGCGCGGCTTTCCTTGGGCGGGTGTTTGCGCGGGCGGCCTCGCGGGCGCTTCATGGCCGGCGGGGCTTGCGACTTCCGGTGGCGGAGAAAGCAGCTCCGCGGTCACCGTCGACATGCAGTTCACCGAATGGCGGGCTAAATCCCGTTAGAATCACACGCGACAACCAACTGAGCTTACTGCTGTCCTGCCAATGCCTTGCACCTCGTCTGCACTACTTGAACAGTCTAGGCCATGTCCGAACCTCTACCACCACGCTATTACTGACAAGCCGCGTTCCGAACCTTGGAAATCAGTGACGCCACACTCTAACAATGTTTGCTGTATTATTGTTTCCTGCCTCCATGGATTCCAAACGTATTTTATTCTGGGTGGGCTAAGGGGTCCTCACAAGTCTTCGTAATAAAATCCCGGATGTACATACAACGGAGATTCGCAAACGCTATCAGAACAGCTACAAACGAAACCCTGTAATAAAGAAAATACATGGGTAGTCACAGTTAGGCGTAGTTTATCACATTTAGTCACGGGGGTATCACAACAGTCACAGTACACCTCCTAACCATCGCGTGTGATCATAGTGCTATCACGGATAGTCACACCCTGCCCCGTAATTCTATCACGTTTGGTCACAGATGAAACGCCCAATCGAGAATTGTAGCTACTCGAGTCACTGTAGGGATTCAGGAGAAATTTTATCGCGCGCGCCGTTTTTGTCCGTATTATCACGAAAAAGTTTCGCGACGACTTTCGGCAACTCGTTAAAAACATCTGCAATTTCTTCTTTACTATACGAATGTCCACTGCTCGATCGATGCGTAATGTTCCTAAAAAATATCACTTTTTGACGGGTGAACTCTAAGGTTTAGTTTGTTCCCAATACAAAAATGAAAATTGTTCGGATGGGATATAATTCGGAAGCATCAGCCCTAAACACCTTGTCGCATAGTGTTCAGGGTTGATGCCCCGCGAAGAAGTGCCATCCAATCGGGGTTTATTTTTTTATTATTTTTTCCTAAAATTCAGGGCTAGAATAATGCGCGAGGTAAGAAGCAATCAAGATTGGGATTCCCCCAAAATTCTACTGTTTCTTTCGTGGTTTCAAATTAATTTTAAACGTTTCATCGAGTGACCAAACATGATAGCTTTTAGGGGGGAGGTGTGACCATCCGTGATAGCACTGTGATCACCTGCGATAAACATCTACTGTACTATGACTGTTTGTAATGCCCCTGTGACCAAATGTGATAAAACGGGCATAATGATGATTTATTATATAATTTCTCGGCATAGGTTCTGATGAGGATTCTTCCAGATCCGAGTTCACTCAGGCTCACCCTGCTAAATCAGCAGGTCAGGAATAGTTCCCCTATTGGCGGTTCGCTTGTTTAAGGGAATTGTGGTAGGTTTCACACCCGGACCTGTACTTGTGAAGCTCGCCGTGCTAAGGTTCGTCAGTTAGTAGTATTTTACGAAATGTTTTAGATTGGTGTTTGCAGATTCCCAGAAGGGGAAATCTGAACCGCCCTGCGGATATTTCAGACAGCATTCACATCCAAGGTTTTGTCAGAGTTCTCGACACTTACACATCCAAACACGTCAAGGAGGATGCCATCACCAGGACCAGGACTTGAATTTGAAACTGAAGCGGGACCTGCTGGGATACATGTGATGACACCGCGGCTCATTTCCAGACCCCGGTTTTGCAGGGTGGGAATATCATATAGCGGGAAAAAAACCGCCATATCTGAAATACAAATCGCCTGCCCCGGCCCCACCACCAGAGCCTGAGCGGCAGCCAGACCTCAAAACCAGGAAGGGTCGAAGGCAGGGTGCACTGCTACGGCCAAACCAAACCTGCCAGCACAGATTGAGCCCTCCAGCCAGACCAACTGAAAGCGAGCGAATTGGTTTGGCTGGGGGCGCGGGGGACCGAGAGCAGGCCTGTCGATGTTCCTGGGGCCCTTACTTGGAGCCCCCAGCTCCTCCCTATCTGACCCTGTATTGGCCGTAGCTGAGTGTTTTGGCGCCCTTAACGGTCACGGGCGCAGGCCAAAGTGGTAACTTGATATCCGGGCTTGCACTTACACTCTCTTAGCTAAGGGAAAGTTCGGCTGCTCCAAAGCTGACTAAGAGAGATCACAAACACGGGATTGGCTAGAAAACGCTAAGGGAAAAAATCCCCTTGGCGCGCTCTCGTGCAACCAAGGAGAAAGGGGAGGGGGGTGGAGTGGGGGGGTCAGGCAGAATTTCTTGGGGGGGGGGGGGGTTCCCTAGAACCGGAAATCAAAACTTTGTGGGTGGGGAAGGCCTGTTTGGAGGCACTTAACGCATCCGGGGAAGGGTCGAACGAAGCACTTAGTGGCACGGGTGCAGGGTGACCCTAACACTTTATGCAGTCGAGCTGGAGCGAAAGTAGCCCGGAATTTCAGGGCATTAAGGGCATATGCCCGTCAATCGACAGGCCTGACCGAGAGGACGGACGGATGGGCGGTTGGTGGGCGGGCGCGAGTCAACGCTGGCCAGCAGGGAACAACCACCACCAAGGCAGAACTGGGCGAGAGGAGAGTTGTCTCCCTACCCCACCTCAGAACGGTTGTCACTCAGCAGGGAAGCTTTCTTGATGGATGGTTGGTGTTACCTACCCTCAACTCGAAACACCTCGGACATGTCCTGTCTAGAAGGGCATTTGTTAGGAAGCATTCTTTGTTCAGGACACGTAGTAGATATAGCGAGCTCCCGCTTCGGTGAGACGTCATGCAGTTCCAGCCATCGGACTTCTCCCAGCTTCAGCAGGCGCAGGAAGACCAGTTTAGGGGTTCCGCTCAATGCAGGTATAGAGCCGTCTTTCAGGGCGGACCAGTGCGCAGCAGGACGCGGTGACGCCGCAGTATTCTTACCTCCGATTGCGGCGGACCTCTCGCAACTGCCTGCGGGCGCCATGGACTTCGCGACGCTGCCAGGCGAGCCCGCGTGGCCGCTTGGGGCTCGCGATGGGCTCTGGTTCCCCGAAGCGTCACAGCTAGTCGCTCCGCCCGTCAACGCTGCTGCGACGAATGAGTTTGGCGGGGCCGCTGGTTGCGGCGCTGTGGGCATGGACGTCGGTGACGTGGCGTCGTCGGGCGTGTCGCGGGATTTGCTGCTGCAGCTGTTGTCGGCGGGTCTCGACATGCCGTCGCTGCAGGCCATGCTCAACCGCGCTCGACGCCACCACCACCGCCACCACTACCGCGCTCACCACGTCGTCACCACTCGAGTCGCAGCCAGCACAGCTGCCCCAGGTGGCTGCGGACAGCACAGCGCAGCTCCTCGCAGCAGGCGCGGCGGGTGCGGCGGCGGAGCACACGGTGGGTGGATTTAACGGCTCTGCGCCGCCGGGAAGCGGCCGCGCCACCCTGAGCCAGAGCCACAGCCTGGACGGTCGATCTGCGCTTTCCGCCCGTCTCGCCGCAAGTCAACGCTCGATCTCGACCGCAGCTCACGGCGGGCGAGCGCCCCGTGCCGCTGCTGGGGTCCGCCGCTCACGGCGCGCAGTCGAGCCTGCGCTCCCGGCGGGGCCTGCCCGACCTCTCCAGCTCGCTGGCCAACGCGCGCCCCTCCGCCGTCTCCCGCCTCGCCGCTGCCACCGGCGGCAATCCCCCTCTCAGCACGGGCAAGCGCGAGGCCGAGGCGGGCATGACAGGCGGCGCAGCGCGGTGGCCGCTGTCCCCCGCGCTCAAGAGCCCGCGATCCGACGGATATCGCAGCCCCGGCGGCAGCCGCGTTCTGTCCGCCATAGCCGCGAGCCCCACGGGGCTCGCGAGCGACATGGCGCAGCTGCGCGTGCGCTCGCTGCCCACCACTCCGCTTGGCGGGGCTGCGTCCTTGCCGCTGGGGTCAGCGCGCGGCGGAGTGGGAGGGGGCGTGCGATCCGCGGAGTCGGCAGGCAGAGGGTCGCACTCGAGAGGGTCGAGCGGCGAGCAGGGCTACGAGGTGGCGTCGGCGGGCGGGCAGGATGGAGCAGCGCGGGACGGGCAGGAGGGCGGGATGGAAGCGGGTGCCGCGCACATGGAGGAGGGCGGCGGGGCGGCAGCAGGGATGGGCGAGGGCATGGAGGGCGGCGGAGGGGGAGACGAGCTGTACGGCGGCGATGGGTTTGGGCTGGACGAGGGGGGGGGACGAGGAGGCGGACGGGGAGGGCGGCAAAGGGGGGGCCGGAGGCAAGGGGCGGGGCAGGCATTCGACGAAGCCGCGCAGCGTGGCGGAGCGCATGCGGCGGGAGCGCATATCGGCGCGGCTGAAGCGGCTGAAGGACGTGATGCCGCGCACGGACGCGCGCACAGACACGTCCGCCATGCTGGACGACGCTGTGGTGTACATCCGCTCCCTGCAGATGCGCTGCGCCGCCCTCGAGACCCAAAACGCCGTGCTCGCTAAACAGCTCGCCGACGCCGCCCGCACCCGCGAGCACGCCCCGCAATAGCGCCTTCTCCCGCTGCTGCGTGCAGCTGCCACTACCCATGCCTTGCCCTGTCCTTAGCCTAGGCTGCCTGCGCCCACTGCTGACCTGCTGATCACCCCATCTGTTGCTTGCACACGAGTACATGCTACCCGCATTCTTGTATATTCAAAACTTTATGAACAACTCCACCTCATTGTGTGGAATATCGCTTGTCTTTCGCCTGTCTTCTCACTCACTCACACTCCCACTCTCCCTCCCTCCAGCTCTCTCTTCCTGCCCCTCTTGGCACTCCTCCGTCCCTCCACCAATCCCTCCCTCGCTCCCTCTCTCGATCCGCCAATTCATCCCTCGTTTCCTCTCTCGCTCTGCCCCTCCCTCCCTCACTCCCTCTCTTCCTTTCCTTTCTTACTTGCTTGCCCCTTTCCGCTCCCGTTCTACCTCCTTATCTCCCATTTATGCCATCTCCCTCCTCCCTCCTCCCTCCTCCCTCCCTCCCTCCCTCCCTCCCTCCCTCCCTCCCTCCCTCCCTCCCTCCCTCCCTCCCTCCCTCCCTCCCTCCCTCCCTCCTCCCCTCCCTCCCTCCCTCCCTCCCTCCCTCCCTCCCTCCCTCCCTCCCTCCCTCCCTCCCTCCCTCCCTCCCTCCCTCCCTCCCTCCCTCCCTCCCTCCCTCCCTCCCTCCCTCCCTCCCTCCTCCCCGCCTCTCTCCCTCCCTCCCTCCCTCCCTCCCTCCCTCCCTCCCTCCCTCCCTCCCTCCCTCCCTCCCTCCCTCCCTCCTCCCTCCCTCCCTCCCTCCCTCCCTCCCTCCCTCCCTCCCTCCACCCCTCCCTCCCTCCCTCCGCCCCTCCCTCCGCCCCTCCCTCCGCCCCTCCCTCCGCCCCTCCCTCCGCCCCTCCCTCCGCCCCTCCCTCCGCCCCTCCCTCCGCCCCTCCCTCCGCCCCTCCCTCCGCCCCTCCCTCCGCCCCTCCCTCCCTCCCTCCCTCCCTCCCTCCCTCCCTCCCTCCCTCCACCCCTCCCTTCGCCCCTCCCTCCCTCCCCTCCCTCCCTCCCTCCCTCCCTCCCTCCTCCCTCCCTCCCTCCCTCCCTCCCTCCCTCCCTCCCTCCCTCCCTCCCTCCCTCCCTCCCTCCCTCCCTCCCTCCCTCCCTCCTCCGCCCCTCCCTCCGCCCCTCCCTCCGCCCCTCCCTCCGCCCCTCCTCCCTCCCTCCCTCCCTCCCTCCTGCCTCCCTCCCTTCGCCCCTCCCTCCCTCCCCTCCCTCCCTCCCTCCCTCCCTCCCTCCCTCCCTCACTCCCTCCCTCCCTCCCTCCCTCCCTCCCTCCCTCCCTCCCTCCCTCCCTCCCTCCCTCACTCCCTCCCTCCCTCTCTCCCTCCCTCCCTCCCTCCGCCCTCCCTCCGCCCCTCCCTCCGCCCCTCCCTCCCTCCCTCCCTTCCTCCCTCCCTCCCTCCCTCCCTCCCTCCCTCCCTCCCTCCCTCCCTCCCTGCCTCCCTCCCTTCGCCCCTCCCTCCCTCCCTCCCTCCCTCCCTCCCTGCCTCCCTCCCTTCGCCCCTCCCTCCCTCCCTCCCTCCCTCCCTCCCTCCCTCCCTCCCTCCCTCCCTCCCTCCCTCCCTCCCTCCCTCCCTCCCTCCCTCACTCCCTCCCTCCCTCCTCCCTCCCTCCCTCCCTCCCTCCCTCTCCCTCCCTCCCTCCCTCCGCCCCTCCCTCCGCCCCTCCCGTCCGCCCCTCCCTCCTCCCTCCCTCCCTCCTCAGGCGCTCCCTCCTCCCTCCTCCCCTCCTTCCCTCCCTCCCTCCCTCCTCCCTCCCTCCCTCCCTCCCTCCCTCCCTCCCTCCCTCCCTCCCTCCCTCCTCCCCGCCTCTCTCTCTCCCTCCCTCCCTCCCTCCCTCCCTCCCTCCCTCCCTCCCTCCCTCCCTCCCTCCCTCCCTCCCTCCCTCCCTCCCTCCCTCCCTCCCTCCCTCCCTCTCTCCCTCCCTCCCTCCCTCCGCCCCTCCCTCCGCCCCTCCCTCCGCCCCTCCCTCCGCCCCTCCCTCCGCCCCTCCCTCCGCCCCTCCCTCCCTCCCTCCCTTCCTCCCTCCCTCCCTCCCTCCCTCCCTCCCTCCCTCCCTGCCTCCCTCCCTTCGCCCCTCCCTCCCTCCCCTCCCTCCCTCCTCCCTCCCTCCCTCCCTACCCTCCCTCCCTCCCTCCCTCCCTCCCTCCCTCCCTCCCTCCCTCCCTCCCTCCCTCCCTCCCTCCCTCCCTCCCTCCCTCCCTCCTCCTCCCTCCCTCCCTCCCTCCCTCCCTCCTCCCTCCGCCCCTCCCTCCGCCCCTCCCTCCGCCCCTCCCTCCGCCCCTCCCTCCGCCCCTCCCTCCGCCCCTCCCTCCGCCCCTCCCTCCCTCCCTCCCTCCTCCCCTCCCTCCCTCCCTCCCTTCCTCCTCCCTCCCTCCCTCCCTCCCTCCCTCACTCCTCCCTCCCTCCCTCCCTCCCTCCCTCCCTCCCTCCCTCCCTCCCTCCCTCCCTCCCTCCTCTCCCTCCCTCCCTCCCTCCCTCCCTCCCTCCCTCCGCCCCTCCCTCCGCCCCTCCCTCCGCCCCTCCCTCCGCCCCTCCCTCCCTCACTCCCTCCCTCCCTCCCTCCCTCCCTCCCTCCCTCCCTCCCTTCGCCCCTCCCTCCCTCCCCTCCCTCCCTCCCTCCCTCCCTCCCTCCTCACTCCCTCCCTCCCTCCCTCCCTCCCTCCCTCCCTCCCTCCCTCCCTCCCTCCCTCCTCCTCCCTCCCTCCCTCCCTCTCTCCCTCCCTCCTCCCTCCGCCCCTCCCTCCGCCCCTCCCTCCGCCCCTCCCTCCGCCCCTCCCTCCCTCCCTCCCTCCCTCCCTCCCTCCCTCCCTCCCTCCCTCCCTCCCTCCCTCCCTCCCTCCCTCCCTCCCTCCCTCCCTCCCTCCCTTTCCTTCCCCCCCGCTCCCCTCCCGTTCTTCCTCCTTTTCTTCCTCCTAGGCCATCTCTCCTCCTTCCCCTTCTCTCTCCCTTCCCTCCCTCCCACATTCACTCCGGCCAACCCTCGATCCGTTCCTCTTTCCCTGCCTTTATGCTTCCTTCCGTTCTTCCTTTATTCTTCCCTCCTTCCTTCCCCTCCCTCCACCCGTCTCCTTACTCCCGTGTCCTCTCATTACATTGATCACTTCCTTCCTCCTCCCTCTTCTCCACGTCTTCACTCTTCTGCTCCCCTCCGCAGTCTTTCATGGCTGTGGATAGAAAACAGCACACTGCACAGTCCATTCAGAAATGTGGTTTGTTCTGATCTGAAGTGTCTTCTGTTGGAAACAATAAGTCCTAAGTGCGCTTCTGTCGTATCAAACCCAAGGCACCAAGCGAAGCAGTCCCAAACGAAGCATCGAGTCAACCTCGGAGGTTAGGGTAACCGCCTGGAGGTTACGAGAAAGTCAAAGGTCGCTGACCTTTGACTCGACAATCACAGCGCGACAGTTAAGGACACACAACTGACTCGTTACAGAGCAGTTGCCCGAGTCGCACTGTATCGAACCGCAACAGCAATACAGTTATCTACCTATCTATTCGTATTCCCTGTACTCATATATAAATCCTTGTATTTGCTTGTTTAATTTAATCTACTTTGCTCTCACACACCAGTGCAAGGTCGGTTCACAATCCTCATTAAAACGCTTCCGCTATTACAAGTTTCTACCCAAGAGTTCTCCTCTGCAAAGATCCTAAGGGCTATTTCTCAGCCCAACATGGTATCAGAGCTGACAGGTGAAAACTCTAACCTTTTTCATCATTACAAGACATGGCAACAAACAAGGAAAGGAGCTCCCCCAATGGCTCCTCGGGCACTACTCCTACTCCACCGCCAGCCTCTGGCTGTGAGAATAAGCGAACAGGAATGAATGAACTAGAAGTGAAATGAGTACAAGTAGTAAACCCTAGAATTGTGTACCCCCTAGAGGCTAACCCACTGTAGCCTACACAAGCATAACATATATAATGTTTGACACACCCCCATAGGCAAAGTGGGGGAGAACAAGGGGTCACAAGACCAGTCAAGCAAAGCAAAGCAAGCTCAGGGTGGATCACAAAGTCACCACACAGTCCGAGCACAAAAGCAGGGCCAGAGGCCAGTTCACATGCAGGAGTACAGACATATATATAAAACTAGACAAGCAAGAGCAGGTATATATATATGTCACAGTACAAGTAAAGTCAAGAGGAGAGCAAGTGAGGCAAGACAGGCACAAGACCCAGCTGGGTGCAAAAGCGCTGATGATCACAAGGCGCGAGTGCCTTGGTGAACACATCAGCAGTGTTGGCCTCAGAGGCCACGTACGCAAGTCGCAACTGACCACGCTGCTGCAGCTCACGAGCAATGAAGTAGCGGAGAGCAATGTGCTTCGTTCTGTGCTCCAAGCGCTGCTCTCGACACAAGGCCAGCATGGCCTTGTTGTCTACGTACAGCACTGGAGGAGAACGAGGCGGCTCTCCAAGGTCAGTCAGCAGGTAGGTGAGCCAGCGAAGCTCCTGTGCAGCCATGGCCCCGGCGTAGATCTCAGCCTCACAACTGGAGCCGAGAACCGAAGACGAGCGAGTAGACCGCCACGAGACAGAGCCGGAACCAAGGCTGAAGGTGTAACCCTGTGACGACCGCTGCGTAGCCTGGTCGTCAGCCCAAGAAGCGTCCGCGTGGCCGGTAAGGACCACTGGACTCCGCCCTCCAAGCACAAGCCCCATGCCCGACGTACTGCACAGGTAGCGCAATACCCTCTTCGCTGCAGCCATGTGCTCTGGTCTGTGTCTCCCAGGAGCAACATAGCGTGCAAGAATGCTCAGAGGGTATGCAAGGTCAGGTCGTGTGCAGGTCATCAGGTACATGAGGCAGCCAACAAGCTCTGCATACGGACCACTCGACTCTACGGACTCATCCGAAGGCAGAGCTGAGAGTGAGTGGCGAGTAGGCAGAGGAGTGGCATGAGGCGAGGAGTACGTGAAGCCGAAGCGCTGAAGGACCTGCTGCACCATGTGTGACTGAGTCAAGGTAATGGTGCGGCGTGCTCTGTCCCGAGTGATCTGCAAGCCAAGGTAGCTGCGCAGTTCACCCAGGTCTGTGCACGTGTGTCTCTTCAGCAGTTCAGACTTCACGTAGGCGAGTCCAGCAGTGTCCGCTGTGGCAAAGACCAAGTCGTCGACGTACACGAGGATGTAGAACGGCGGCAGTGAAGTGTCGGTGCGCAGAAACAGCGACGGGTCAGCAGTAGAAGGAGCAAACCCAAGAGCCGCAAGCGTAGTCCTCAGTGTGTCGTGCCACTCACGCGGTGCCTAGCGGAGACCGTAGACTGGCCGTCGGAGGCTCCACTGGGTGCCAGGAGGGAAAGTCCCAGTGAAGCCAGGTGGACGGCACAGCCAGATCCCCTCGTGCAGGCTACCCTGCAGGAACGCAGTGCTGAAGTCGAGAGAGTGAAGCTCGTAGTCGCGCTGAGCGGCTATGTGCAGCAGCACCCGAAGAGTGGTCATCTTCGGGGTGGGAGAGAAGGTCTGAAAGTAGTCAACTCCCTGCCGCTGACTGAAGCCACGAGCAACGTGTCAGATTATTATAGCTGATGCATGTTTGTAGGCTATAGTGGGGTAGCACATATGGGGTACAGTTTGCTAGGGTTGTATTTGTACCAACTCTGACTTAGTCAATTCATTCCTGTTCATTCCTTTCACACAACGTACCGCGCCTTGAAGACAGGTGGAGAGCCCGGCGGCCGCTTCACCCTGAAGATCCACATGCCACTGACGATGTTCGCCCCAGGAGGGGGAACCGCGTCAACGTAGGTGCCTGTGGACTTCCAGGAAGCCATCTCTGCATCCATAGCTGCCTGCCACTGAGAGGAGTAGGGACCCTCTACGGCCTCCGCGTAAGAACGCGGAGTCGGGATGTCTAGTGCATCCGGGTCTCCCTCAGGGGCAAGCAGTACAGACGCGAGATGAGGTGAAGCAGCCGCTAGACACTGTAACTCCTCCTGTCTGTCCTCTAGGACGTCCGTGCCAAGAGCACACTCACCCCCGACGGACGGAGGACAGACAGACGCAGACTCAGCAACAAGACCAGCAGCGTAGTCGAGACGATAGCGAGCAGCAAAGTCAACGAGCTCAGCGACTAGAGCAGACGCAGCAGTGGACTCAAAAGAGGGGTCAGTGACGACAGTAGCAAGCAGACGCGTGACAGTAGGACTGGCAGCGCGAAGAGAGTCCGACTCAGGGTCGGCAAGCGCAGGAAGAGAGGACTCAGGAGGAGAAGGCAAAGGGGCACGCAGAGGAGCAGTGGACGGACGCAGAGACATCCGGTGCGTGCCAGGGACAGGAGGAGGACGCTGACGCGAACCGCGACCACTAGCGCGAGCAGCACGAACAGGCGACGCGGGACGAGACGCAGGCTCACGACGCTCAGCAAGACCTCCAGTAGGATCAGTGTAAGGAGAGGGAGCAGGCAGAGGAGAGGAAGGCTCCAACAGTGACTGCGACTGGACAGGCTGTGGACACTCTACCGAAGGAGAAAGACCAAGAACCTGCTGTAGGAGCGGAACGAAGTACGGCCGAGGCCGCGCGGCAGCTCCAGACTCAGCAGGGACAGCACCAGCACCCTCAGCGACAGCACCAGCGCCACCAACACCTCCAGCGGCAGGACCTCCAGCAGCACCAGCAGCAGAACCACCGCCAGGACAGACAGCAGTAGTCTCAGCACCAACACCCTCAGCAGCTCCAGCTCCAGTAGGACTCGCAGGCCCAGCAGCTCCGGGACCGGCAGCACCAGCACCCTCGACGGTCGACGAAGCTCCAGCTCCAGCAGCACTCCTCCAGCGGCGAGCAAACCACTCACGCAGCTCCTGTGGAGAGAGGGGCTCCCGGCGAGACGCAGCAGCAGGAGAAACCCCAGGCTCAGCAGCTCCAGACTCAGCACCCCCAGGCACAGCCGCTCCAGACTCAGCACCTCTAGGCTCAGTAGCTCCAGACTCAGCACCCCCAGACTCAGTAGCTCCAGCTCCAGTAGGACCCGCAGGCCCAGCAGCTCCGGGACCGGCAGCACCCTCAGCAGGCGAAGAAGCTCCAGCTCCAGCAGCACGCCTCCAGCGGCGAGCAAACCACTCGCGCAGCTCCTGTGGAGAAAGCGGCTCCCGCCGAGATGGAAGAACCGGAGAGCCCCCAGGTCCAGCAGGCGCAGGCTCCGCACCTCCAGGCCCAGCACCCCCAGGCTCAGCAGCTCCTGACGTAGCACCCTCCGGCTCAGCACCCCCCGGCTCAGCACCCCCAGACTCAGCACCCCCCGGCCTCGCACCCCCAGGCTCAGCACCCCCAGGCTCAGCACCCCCAGCAGCAGCACCCCCAGGCTCAGCACCCGCAGCAGGACCAGACTCAGCAGCAACCTTGACTGGCTCGACCGTGTCTACCTGGGACACACCTGAAGGGGCAGGAACCTGAGGGGGGAGGGGGTCTACCGGGGGGGGAACTGGTACCAGGAAGTCCGGTGGGGGGGGGAAGGGAAGGAGTACGGTAGGGGAAGAGGCGGTAGAAGGGGACTGACTCGTCGAACGTGACGTCCTGGGAGGACAGAACACGACGAGAGGAGGGGTGGTAGAACTGCCACCCTGGAGCGTCAGGGGGGAAGCCAAGGAAGACACAGGGAGCAGCACGGGGGGACAGCTTGTCCGCAGACAAGTCGCGGACAAACGCCCGAGATCCCCAGACACGGAACGCAGACGCATCGCCGACCTTCCCCGTCCACAGTAACACTGGGGACATCGCGGGCCGAGAGACCCTGGGGTGAAGGTTGAGCTGATGCGCCGCGTACCAAACCGCAAACGGCCACAGAAAATGGGGGGCAGCCGCATGCATCATGGACGTACGAGCGACATCCATGACCATGCCAATGCGGCGCTCAGCAATCCCATTTTGCTGTGGAGAGTCCGGAAGCGTAAAGGTCTGGCGGATCCCCTGTGCACGACAGTAGTCTCGCAGAAGGCGAGAGGAGAACTCCCCACCTCGGTCAG